TTGCCTATCTATGGCAGGGAAGGTGTCCCCATGAACTCAAAACAATATAGTTACCTACACAAGCCCTGGGTAATGACAACAGTAGCTGACACGCCAACATGGAGAGTGGAAATCTCAAAGATCTCTGCCTGTGGATGAAATAGGCAATTAGTGACTGCTGGGAGAGGAATGAAACCACGAAGTGGTTATTGAAACCAAGTGCTCCACCCTAACAACATGTACATATGAGCAACAATAAATTGAGTCAGCAGGTTGTACGTATATATTCATTCCTACATATGAGTGTCTAACAGTAATAATTAAAGAAAAAGAGGTTATGAATTTGAGAGGAGGTTGATGTGAGATTTCCCTCTGTATGCTGTGAATATGTTGTATTACCATTGGTTAAAAAAGAAACAGTTTTCAGCCAATGGCTTAACAGAGGAAAGCAAGGCAGAAAATCCAAACAGACACGTAGAGAGTAGGTGGAGTCGAGGAGACGCCATGTAGTTTCCAAAAAAGAAAGATGCAAACTGGTAGGCCACAACCTCATGGTGATTCACAGGTTAATAGAAATGAGTTAATTTAAGATATAAGAATTAGCTAAAATATGCATAAGCTATTGGCTGAACAGGGTTATAATTAATATAGTTCCTGTGTTATTATTTGGGTCTGGACGACCAGGAAACGAATGAGCAGTCTTCGAATATAGGAGGTGATCACAGGAAGACATAAAAGGCAGGGAAGTGCTGAGATGATGTAACTACAGCACACATACATATTTTTTAAGTTTAAAAACATCACTCAGCCCATCTGCAACTTCATCCCTTGCTCTCTGAAGAGGTAAGTTTCTTGCCTGCTTAAATGCCAACAAACATGGAGTAGTACATCCTCTTCAAATAAGCCAGGATATAAGTACTAGCAAAAAAGCCTGCGCTATCCTGATATACTCAACTCGAACGCAGTAGAACTTTTTAACTGTTCCACCGAGATGTGTGTTCTTCTCCAATTCAGTAAGTGTCCAAAAGCAAGGTTCATATTGCTTGAAGCCCCTTAAATAATCAATCTCTACTGGCTAGTTTTATGTCAGTTTGACACAAGTTAAAGTCATTGGGGGAGAGAACCTCAAATGCCTCCATTAGATTGGATTGCAGGCAAGCATGTTGAGAGCATTTTCTTAATTAGTGACTGCTGGGAGCAGGCCCAATCTATTGTGGGTGGGGCCACACCTCGGCTGTTCTGGTTTCTATATAAAAAAAAAAAAAAAGTAGGCTGAGTAAGCCACGGGGAGCAAACCAGTAAGCCTCACCCTTCCATAGACTTTGCATCAGCTCATACCTGCCCTGTTGGAGTTCCTGTCCTGACTTTCCTCCCCAAGTTGCTTTGGCTATGGTGTTTCACCGTAACAGCAGTAACTCTAACTAGGACACAATCTTGTTGAGTAGTACATATAAGACACACCACAATCTAACAACAAAATCTAGATCAGCAAAAGGAATGTCTCAGTACTCACACATCACTCTTGGACAGCCCTCCAGTTCTCTGTGTATCAGTGCCTCTCCCAACCATTCATTCTACTTGCTTCTGCCTATTCTCATGTTACTCAAAATCAAAGGCCAAGGTGAAGTGTCAAGCATACAACCTGACCCATACCAAATTGACACTAGTCTGATCTTGTAACATTTATGACCTATGCCAGCATTTCCAAAAGTATATTTCAAAGAATATGCTTGGAGGTATTACTCCATGGTACAGGAAATTTGTGTCCACCACAAAGATCGCACTCCTCAGTCTCAATGTATACTGCCACCTTAAAGCCTCTGGGAAACCCTAACACCCCAACAAGCTAACAAAGCAACCAGCTGACATTTTAAAGACACTAGCATGCTCCAGAACATAACTTGAAATTACTGTTTTTGTGGTTTTTTAATTCAACCATTTCTCATACTTTTTAATACCTTTCTAGATATATATCTGTATGTTTCCCAAAACTGACTGGAAGTTCTTTAAGAAATTCTGTTGTTACTTTGGATATTAAAGGACCTGCAGAGGACCACAAGCTAGAGACCCAGACTGTTCAACTGAAGACCTAACATCTAAAGAGTAAAGTACTTTTACTAAAGCAACCTGAACCTAACATAGAAATCATTAGCTAATGATCATAGACAATACAGATCTGAGCCTGTTGTGGGGATAATTGTATCCCTGTGTTATATAGTAACTTTTTTCCAAATGAAAACATTCCATCCTGGAGGGAGGCTTAAGACTCAGAAAGTAAATAAAGCTTATGATGCTCAAGAAAAAATTCACAAGTCTCAGAAATCACCCGAAACATACATTACCAAGGCTCTTCCCACAAGGTAAAATAAGCAGTAATTGGGGCAGGATACTCTCAAGTAGCTGAGCTATTAACAGGGAGCTTCAAGAACACAGCCTTCTGAAATTATCACCCATGTTGGAATGGGCTTTTCAGTGATGCAGCAACCTTTGACTCATCCATCTTCCTCTAAGTAAGTCCTCACCCATGCTCCTAAGTAAGCCCAAAAATTCATTAGTTCAGCAAACTGAACAATGAACAATGGTAGAGTGATTTTGATCTATTGCTGGTGCCCTATCTGGAGTGAACAGATGTTTGCTCATGTTTCCACAGGAAGACATACAACACCCCCACAATTCACACATCAAAGTACCAGTCCCCGCATTTCAGAATACAACAGTATTTACAAAGTACAAAGGTAATGAAAGCTAAATGAGGTTCTGTAGGAAGATCCTGATCCAATCTGTCACTCTCAAAAGAAATTTAGACACACCAGGAAGCACATGCACAGAAGACAGATCAGGTGAAGACACACTGAGGTACAAGACAGAAACAATGGCCTTAAAAGAAATCAAACGTTACAACTCTTTGATGCTGGACTTCTAAACTCCAGAATTATGAGAAAATAAATTTCTGTTGTGGTATTTTGTTTTATCAGTCATAAACCAGAGCTCCAATCCTGAATGGTATCTAGCTACATAAACCCATGCACACATAAAAGTTCCTTTGCTCCCAGAATAACTCAGTGATTAACTTTTGTTGAGCATTCTATGTTCAGAAGACAGTCATTAAACAATGAAGAAATCTGAAAAACTGGGGAAAGTGTGAAAAGGCTACTAATGGAGAGGAAGTGGGAAGACAGGCTTCTGGCCATGTAAAATTGAAGAGCAATAAATGAGTGGTTACATGCAGCTGTCCCGCTCGAAATCAGAACTTGTAATACTTAAGCCTACACAAATGTGGGATGAGGTGCTCAAAGAAATGTTTACCGTCAGGAAAGATGAAGTAAAGGCTGGAATTTAAGGCCCACTGACTGTCAGATGGAAAGTAGGACCTCTGAGATTCTAGCAACATTTGTCTCTGGGTCCCTAAAATATCTATGTGCATCAACCCACTGCAGCACCTGCTCTCACTCACACAACAAGGGCAGAAACAAGGAGGAAAAGATGTGCTCCTGTCATCAAAAGAAGGGCCTGAAGAAACAGAGCCCTCGGGAAATATCAGTAGTCAAAGAACCATTACTATGCCAAAAAAAGAAAGCTAAATATAATTTTTCTAAATCTAAATGCCAGTTGATATTGATTCTGTAAAATATGGTCTACATTCCAAATTAACTCAACATAATGTTGGGGAGTGTGCCCTGTTTAGGAGGCAATCTACCTGGATAACTCTTCTTACTGTACTGTTACTTTGTTTGTTAGGTTCTTCTCCCCAAGACTGTAAACTCCTCAGAGACAAAGAGTGTGTTTTTGCACACCCACACACATCTGCAGGGTGACACTATACTCACAATTCTGTTCACTAATAGAGATGAAATTCAGTAGACTCATAAAAATTTGCAACTGGAGACAAAATATCTCTGAGTTAGGGCACTGACTCTTCAAACAGTTTCCTTGCACAAACCCTGGAAAAGTCATTTAACCTCCCGGCCTGACCGTCTACAAAGTAGTCAGAGTGAAGGCTACAAAATAGATTCCACAAAAAAATAAGTTACATAGTAAATACGTAGTAAGGCTTAAGACCACTCAGCACATACCGCTAAATATGTATTTCCTCATTACAATTATTCTGTACAAGACGCTGCCAGATATTATAGTTAAGTTTTTAAATAAACAGAACTCCTCCTTCTTATCAAAAAATCAAAACAATTGGTTTAATGTACAAGTGTATGTACCTGGAGCTATAATAAGTGAAGAATTTGAGTTTGAGATAGAAACTTGCTGTTCCGGAATTCTCCAAAGGAATCTAACAACCAAAAGAGAAATAGCATTATCCTGCACCCAACTCTTGTGCTCCGAGCCTACGTCAATTAGCAGACACATCACACAGCCCACATTTTCTTTTCGAACCTGTTCCTTTTTTCACTGTCCCCGCCCCCTTGCGACTTGGCAAAGAGCAGCCAAGCTTTCCCATATCTGGAAACTGAAACTTACAAAGCCCGGCTCCTCACCGCACACCACCAGCATAGTCCTTAGTGCCCCGGCCAAAAGAGGCGATCCGACGAGGCAGGCTGCGTGACAAGGGCTCTGCAGCCGCTTGGGATCCAAACCACTACGCGGCCCACACCTGAGGCGGCCCGGCCTTGGCCACAGGGGCACAGCCCATCCAAGTGACAGAAGCACTGCCACCTCATCACCGCCAAGTTCACTAAGCCAGGGAACATTGGGTCACGCTGTCCCGTGCAAAGAAGGACGACCCCTAGCAGCACCTCCAGGCACAATCCCTTCTCCCCCAATGCCATTTCAACTGCCTTTAAAATGTAACTTCTGCTCAAAGCGAAAGCAACCAAAACCCACCTGGCACATGCTGGACTGCCGCAAAGTATAAGCGCATGCGCATTTCCGCAGGCATCGCTTTCGTGATGGGAAGTAGCTGAGCGATCATTAGCTCGAGATTTGATTAAAATGGTCTTTACACTGGTTAAGAGTGAGAGCGGGACTCCATGCTTGCGCATGCGCATGCTCTGAGCCTGATGGGAGTTGTAGTTTCGCGGTGCCCCCCACATTACTTCAGTTTACGGAATCCAAATCGTCGCAGGGCGGCAGTCCAGAGGAGACCAGCTCAGTGGCCGTGTCTGCCCACCCCTGCAGGCGATGCTGCCGCTGTGGGTGTGTGTGGTCGCGGCGTCTGCGCTCGCGGCGCCCGCCCCCGGAACCCAAGAGCAGAAGCTGCAAGTGGCCCAGAGGCCCAATGTGGTGCTCGTTGCCAGTGACTCCTTCGTAAGTAAAGGGAGGACGGCGAAAGGACGCCGCCCACAGCCTGCGGAGAGCCCTCAGGGAGAGCGGACCGTGGGGTTGAGAGGTCCCGCGCGTGCACACCTGCAAAGTAATAGTTAAAGGGCTCTGGCGACCCTTCTGCCTCAACCTCTCTAGAGAGACTACACCCGCGCGCCACAGGCGGAGATGTTCACGAATTTTTAGTAACAGACTAGGTCCACAAAGCATTTTTGCCATTATTAGTTAATGTATCCTGGTTTAAGTAAGTTATGAAGGGAAATGCATTGTGCATTTCCATAAAAGCTTATTTGTTTTCCAAAATGACGTGTTAGTCACCCACACTTGCAAAAATTAATATTTGGGTAAGAAATGAAGGAAATTTAATTTTCTAAACCAGCGGTTCTCAATCTATGGGTCGCAATCCTCTGGGATTCGAACCACTTTTTCACAAAGGTTGCCTAAGACCATCGGAAATATCAGATTAGGTTGCGGTTCGTAACAGTAGCAAAATTACGGTTATGAGGTAACAACAAAACAGTCTTATTCTTAGGTGTCACCACAACATGAGGAACTGTATTAAAGAGTTTCAGCGTTAGGAAGATTGTTTGACATTTAATAATTGTGTTACCAGTGATTTAAATATTAGTTGTTATAGTTTAATCTACTTTTGCCAGAAAGTGGAGCTGCACGCCTTTAATCCCAGTACTTGAGAGGCAAAGGCAGGCGGATCTCTGTGAGTTCCAAGGAGAGCCTGGTCTACAGAGTAAGTTTCAGGACAGCCAGGACTGTTGTCTCAAAAAGACAAAAAAAAAAAAAAAAAAGTACTTTCTTGAAAAAGAAGGATGATAAAACATAATTCTTTTCGATTTCAAAGCTTATGACAAAGCTACAATAATCACAATAATATGTTACAGGCAGAAAGATAAATATTCAGAGCAATAGAATCGATTTAAGAGTCTAGAAATAAATTCTGATAAACAAATAATGCTGAAATTAAATATCCATATATTTAATTTCAAATTAAATTAAAAGAACAAAATTGAGCCCTGTCTTCCACCATATGTAAAAATTAACTTAAAATAAGTTTATGAATTAAAGACTTCGTCATGAAAATGGAAGTATAAATTTTCATAATGTTGGATTAGGCAACTTAAAAGGAGCCAAAGATTTGAAAAAATATTTCCCCATAGAATATACACAGGTGGCCAATAAGCACATACGACGTTTATTAGCATTGATAATCATTCGGGAACTGTAGGTCAAACCATAGTGAGACTCTAGGTAGATCAAACCATCTCATTCCCATAAGGATAGTGAGAATCAAGAAGGCATGAAAGTATTAGGGGATTATTTGAGAAGATACAGGGAGTCCAAGGAGGAGGAGGAGGTAAATATGTTCAAAGTATGAAACCGTTGTGTTATTTTGTACAGTTAACATATAAGAAGTTCTTCCATATTCTAATTACACACACCCGCGCACACACACGGTAGACAATGACCACAGTTTGTGAGACTATGGAGGAATTGGAAACCTAGTACACTGCTGTGGAGAATGCTTTGTAAAGTGGTAAAGCCACCTTGGAAAGCATTTGACAAACTAGAGTTACTATGCAATCCAGCAATTCTATTCCTATGAGTTTGTGTCCAAGAGAAATGAAAACAGAGTTAACACAAATACTTCTATGACTATTCATAGCAATATTATGCTAGAAGCCTTGAGTCGTGGTTGTGTTTGTCCCAGCAATAGGATACACTAGAACAATGCGTGACATCTAAACTTTTCCTTTGGTTCTCCTTGGTCCGGAATGATGCCATGGCTCAGAAGCAGCAATTGGAAAGTGTTAGAACCAGAGACACAGTTGCGATGTAGCTCATTTGGTAAGGTCCTCACCTAGCATGAGATCAACCAGCAGCATCACAGAAGGAGGGCATGGTAACGTCTGCCTCTGACCCCAACACCCAGGAGGCAGAGACTGGGCATCATCCAAGTTAATTTACTAGTGTTCTTTTACCTCTGCCAGTGGGCTGTGGGTGTCCTGGGAATGGGCCTCTATTCTGTCTCACCATTGTATCCTCAGATGTTACAAGATGCCTGACACATAAACACACAGGTATTTAAAGTTTATTAAAATAATTTTTAAATTACTTTTTCATTCTTCAAAAGAACTTTCCAAGAAGCACTTTAACATATGCAAATATATTTGAGCATAAAACTATCTCCAGTCTTATTTAGGTACTAGATTCTTAAAGCATAGCTCAGTGCTTGCTTTCTATTCTTCTTGAGATTTCATGCAAACATAGTATCCTGCTTCTTTCCTCTTCTCCGTCTTCTCCTTCTCCTTCTCCTCCTCCTCCTTCTTGCATTTTAGCATTTCATGGTCTTTTCTTAATTTAACAACCCGAATTTTCTAGCTTCCTATCTTTGGTTTTTGTATCCCAATATTGGTTTAAGTATGAGTAACAGCTCAATGAAGCAGCTTCATAAAGTAGCACATTTTCGTGTGCAAGCGCAGATAGAAATGAAAAGAACATTGCTGCCACCACCTCTCCTGTTCAAGGAGAGAGACTGACTGTAGGAAGATGAGAGACTAGGTTGGGAACGGGGTGGCTCAGAGGGCAAAATGGAGCGATACACTATACTGATGGTCTAAGTTTGCTGTCTGCACAATAAAAGTTAAAGTGGAAGGGTAAGAATGGACATCTAAAATTGTCCTCTGCTTTCTCTGTGTACATGATGATCAACAGTGGTTGGATTTCTTTATTTCAGGATGGAAGACTAACATTTCAACCCAGAAGTCGGGTAGTAAAACTTCCCTCTATCGACTTGATGAAAGCTCATGGCACCACCTTCCTGAATGCCTACACTAATTCTCCCATCTGCTGTCCATCTCGTGCAGGTATGACAATGCTAATGGAACGGGCTGAGCCCTAAAACGACATCTACGTGTGAAATATCATACGCAAACCTATTTTAAAACCTATTGTAAAGTCGCTTCTGGTACCTAATAAAAAATACCTCAGGGTAACTGCTGTGTGTTCTATGGTGTCAATGTTCGGGTCATTCGAACTTCTAATTTTTCTGAAGAATTTCTTTGATTTAGAATTGAATTTGAATTTCTTGTTTCTCGGAAGAAAAGCTTTTTCTTGCATGGGATGCTGTCTAGTTCCTGTGTTGCTGTTTCATTTCTTCCTTTGGCTGTCAAGCAGATATCAAGAGAGTTCTGTGTCTAGGATGTCTTTCCACAAGGCTTTGGGGAGAGTCAGCAGCTCTCTGGATGCTCATGTGTATCTTAAGTTTCCCAGTGATTGCAGACTTTATACCTCGTTGCTTTCTCTGCTGTCAACGTTCACGTCCGTCACGAGTCTCCGTGCTCACCTGACTGTAATGATTTAGCAGACAGCCGTGGTTTGGATGGCGAGCAGGTGACCATAAGCCATGAGTTTAGAAAGTGAAAATTTGTTCTTAAGACTCTTGTCTGAACGTTGCTCTCCTTACCATCTTTCTGTGCGGCCTGTGGTCATCTGCCATGGAACCTCTGAGATGAGAGTCTCTGTGATTTCAGTTGTCACCGTGGTCACTTTATTTCCAGCACTATGAACCGTCTGGTCTCCCACAGTTAAAGGAAACCTATATTATCCTAATTGATATTTCAATGATGAAAGATAAGATACATCGTATTTTACATGTTTGCTAACTTGTCTTCTGTGTTGACTAGAAGGAGCCCACGATGGGTAAGCTGATTCTAAACCTCTTGGGCCCTGTGCAGGAAGCAGCCCAGGGTCTCAGCTACACAGTGCAAATGTGGTTGTCAACGGATGACAAAGTATGAGAAATTGGCTCGTAGATTCTGAAGGTCTCACAAAGGGGTGTTTCATAGTGATAAAAGTGATTAGTGTACATGCTATGTTTGGTGATATTCTAAATATCGTCTAATATTTTGTATATAATCCTCATACTTCCATGAGCATGGTTACTGTCATTAGCCCAGTTTGCAGAAGAAAACTAAACCGAAGAGGTCGAATAACTTGAGAGTACATACCAGACTATTGTTATTGTGACTCAACCCCACCTCTCAGTAAGCGTGTTGTTATATCAGAAAAGAAAGGAGGGCCTTGGAAGATGGCACTTGATAAAGTGCTTACCCACAGGCGAGAGACCTGAGTTTGAATACCCAACACCTGTGTATCTAAAAAATATTGAACTGCGTGCGGCAGTGCATGCCTGTAATGCTAACACTGGGAGACAGAGTAAGAGAGATTCCTGAAGCTTGCTGACTAGCCAAGCAAGCCAAACGGCAAGCTCCTGATTCAGTGAGAGCAACCCTACCTCAAAAACAGTTTAGGGAGATACCCTTGACATGCACACGCAAAGGAAAGAAAGTACCTCCAACCTACTGTGCGTGCACCAGAAATGGGAACAGGAAACCTGTGTTTGCACACAGAAATGAGAACAGGAAGCCTACTGTGTATGCACCCGGAAATAAGAACCGGAAACCTACTGTGTGTGCACCTGGAAATGAGAACCGGAAACCTACTGTGTGTGCACCCAGAAATGAGAATAGGAAACATACTGTGTGTGCACGCAGAAATAAGAACAGGAAACCTACTGTGTGTGCACGCAGCAATGAGAAAAAGAAACCTACTGTGTGTACATGCAGAAATGAGAACAGGAGGGGCTGGAGAGATGGCTCAGTGGTTAAAAGTACCACCTGCTCTTCCAAGGGTCCTGAGTTCAATTCCCAGCAACCACATGGTGGCTCACAACCATCTGTATTGAGATCTGGTGCCCTCTTCTGGCCTGCAGACAGAGCACTGAGAATACTGTATACATAATAAATAAATCTTTAAAAAAAGAGAGAGAGAAAGAAATGAAAACAGGAAACTTACTGTGTGTGCACCCAGAAATGAGAAAAGAAAAGGAGGTGTTTACTAAAGTTTGAGAAAATGAGGACACACAGCATCTCTTTTTCTTTTTTTTCTTAGAAAAACCTAGTGAAAAGATAATGAATAGGAAGGTCCTTGAAAGGGAAGGGAAACAATGTCTATAATTGTCAGTACTCTAACTTATAGTTTAAAAAAACTAGAAAGCTTTTCTGACTGAAAAACACTAATGATGTGCAAGCTTTATATTTAATTCCAGCCATGAATACAACAAATACCTTAATCAACTTAACCTCCAGGCCTTGGTGAATAGAAATCCTTGTAGGGCTTGCCCTCCGATAAAATGGGTACCAGTGAGAAATGCCCGGGACCTGCTGAAACTGATGGCGTTTCTTATTCCTGATCACAGACTGAAACAGCCAGTAATGATTAAGCTTTAACTTTCATCCGCTCCTTTCATTTCTCTTTTCCCCTCAGCGATGTGGAGTGGCCTCTTCACTCACTTAACAGAATCTTGGAATAATTTTAAGGGTCTTGATCCAAATTATACAACGTGGATGGATGTCATGGAGAAGCATGGCTATCAGACTCAGAAGTTTGGAAAACTAGACTATACTTCGGGACATCATTCCGTTAGGTAAGATGAAAGCCAACACTGCCCCCTGCTGCACACTCATGGACTCTGCATGCTTACTTTACCACAGGGCTGAGAGTAATTCCCTTACTCCCTCCAGTATGCCAATTTGGCTAAAGCTTAACTTCGTTTAATCTTCTTAAAATATTAAACTGTTAACATTCTGATGGGTTTTTGTCTAAAACATTAATATCTATGGTTAATGGATTTAGATATTTGTGAAATAGCTTAGCCTCTGAATTATTTTGTGAGTTTCCGTTATATATCTTTTTCATTTTACAGTCTTTGTAACAGTAGCCTATTTACCTTTGAGGGTTCTCTAGAACTTGAAACTATTGTAACTTTCCTCTCATTTTCATAAACCTTCAAATGGCAGGCAGCTAGCTTAGCTAGGGCTTTGGCTACAGGGTAGACAAGGCGCTCAGCATGCACAGGGCCCTGGGTTCTACCCACACCACCACAAAAACAAACAAGCAACTGCGCACTGTGGTAAAGAGTAATGGCCTAGTTTTGAATTCTAGTTTCTCTACTGTAGTCTGAATTCTAGTAATTTTGAACATGCCTACTCTCTGAACTCCGCTAATGTGATGATTAAACTGGACAAGAAGGACAGGGAAGTGCTAACGTGTAGACCTGAAATTTACCTTAACAATATTTGCCCACCCATATGGTTGGCCCTGGCTGGTGTCTGGAAACTCAGGTTTCAAGGGTGTTTTCCATTTTTCTGTAACTCTAGGCGTGTGCTGGGGTGCTTGTGTGGTGCAATTTATGTTAATCAGCTTTCTTCAGAGACAGGTTTTTGGTATGGTGTGTCTGAGTCACCAGGGTTCTGCACATGCATGGACTAGAGGCAGCGCGTCCCCCACCGTCACAGTTCCACCCTGGGAGATTCGGGGGTGCCCTGAGCTCTCTGCACAGAAGCTTGTGCCTGTGCTTCTTCACCCCTGCTTCTCTTTGTGTTCTTTGCTTTGTGCACTTTAATGTAAAAACATATCCAGAGTCCTAAAGTTCCGCCTACAAACCTGGGTGTGGTCTTCAGTTCCCTAACACTGGGGACTCACAACAAAAACAGAAGACTAGGCAGCACCTTGTGCCTAGAAAGTGATGGTTGAGAGTGACAATATTAATAGTGGCGAGCCATGGCAAGTGAAAGAATTGAAAACTAAATGTCATAAGGTGACAAAATGAAAAGTGTTCCACCCAAACTTCATGGGACTTCAGAATGTTATCTTATCTGGAAATAGATCCAAACTGCAGTTATAACTAGTTAAAGGTCTCAAGATGACACTCTGTACTTAGGATCAACTCTTATTGGAAGAAGGGAAAGGCAGGGATGCACGGAGAGGACAGTTGAGGGCAGAAGCAGAGACTGGAGTGATAGCAACAAGTCAGATGTGACAGAATCGCCGGAGTCTCCTTCAACCAGAAGACACGGCACAGTCTGGCAGAGAGTCTTCAGCAGGAGTGTGGCTCTGAAGGCTCACTTCAGACTTCCCGTCTCTAGAGGTGGGAAGTGCACACTCTGCTTTAAGTGATTCATTCTGTGGTAATTTACTAAGCAAGCCCTAAGGAGGCAGTGCAGTGAGTTTGTGGTTAAACCAATGCTAGAATACTCTGAGTATTATTTTGCTGTTATTTCTAATATTAAATTTCTCCCCTTCTCTGTTTAAACTCTAAAATATAGCCACACTCCTCCCTTCTGTCACCCATCACGGTGCTGTCCCTTCTGTGGGAGAGCATCCCCAGCTTGCTCACCGTCTGCCCCCTATGCTGATGCCCCTGCCTGATGCTCCTATCATTCCTCCCTGAGTTATCAGTGGCCTCCAGCAGGACTCAACAGTGATCTATAAATGTACACCTGATCAATCACATGACTGACCTGCTTTGAACCCATGAGTTATTCTTCCTTGATTTCATTAGAATCCCACACCTAGCGTGGTTTATATGACCCCGCCTGCCGACATTCTGGATTCATGCCATGTGCTAATGCATGTCCTTAATGTGCTTTCACAGGGACTTTTGTCCAAGGTGCCGGGCCTTCTGGGTAAAATCTCCCCCTGTATTCTGCTTTGCCTTAAGAATTTAGCAGAGGGGGCTGGAGAGATGGCTCAGAGGTTAAGAGCACTGATTGTTCTTCCAGAGATCCTGAGTTCAATTCCCAGCAATGACATGGTGGCTCACAACCATCTGGCCTGCATGCATACATGCAAACAGAACACTGTATATGTAATAAATAAATTTTAAAAAAAGAATTTAGCAGAAAGGAGGGCAGACAACATGCAGTGTGAGGAGTGATGTTATCCTGCTTACCATCCTTCTCACCTTGGGAAGATTCCTTAATTTCCCTTAAGTTTGGGGACTCCTATTTGTAAATTGGAATCTGTTCACTTATTGAACAGCTGAGTCTTGTCTGGTTAACATTGAAGATACTGTAACAGGAATAAATGAAACTGTCTGTGGCAGTTCCTGGTACAGAATAAACATCTGTTCTGTGGGAAGGATTGGAGTGATGTGGATCCAGTCAACAAGCCTTACAACTCCTGCCTTTCTGAAGTGGTTTACATTTCCCATTATTTCGTGGAATTTCACAAATTTCTCCTGAAAATATTTCCCTTTATTTTTATAGAGAAAATGTACTTGTGGTGGTTTGAGTGAGAGCTGCCCCCACAGGATCATATATTTAAATACTTGACCCCCAGTTGGTAGAACGACAAGGAAAGGGTGGGAGGTGTGACCTGATTAGAGGAGGTGTGTCACTAGGGGTGAGTTTTGAGCTTTCAGAAGCTCATACAATTCCCAGTCAGTTCTCTCTGCCTCATGCCTGTGGGTTGACACGGCACCATGCCTGCTGTTGTAATGCTCCCTGCCATGACTGTCATAACCCCCAAAACTGTAAGTCCAAAGAAATGCCTTTTGATAAGTTGCCTTGGTCGTAGTTTCTCATCACAGCAGTCAAAAAGTAAGTAGGACAGAAACTGGAGTCAGGGAGTGTGCTGCTGCAGAGACAGGTCTGATCATGCTGCCTGTGCAGGGGATGTGGAAGACCTAAGGGCTTTGGATTAGGAAAGCCATTGAATGCTATAAAATGGGGATTAATGGGACATCCTCATAGGAGCCTGGAAGACAGTGTTACAGAGAGCAGTGTGGACTTATGGAGGCCCAGCTCAAGGTTTCGGAGGGGAACAATATTAGACACTGCCATTCTTATATTTTAGCAAAAAATATGGCTGCTTCCTGACATTGTCTCCAAATTTGCTTGAGTCTAAACTGAAAAACATTGGTCCAGGACATTTCAAGACAACATGATGTTGACTCTGTGGTGGTATTGCTTGTTATGCAGGTCTGTGTAAAAAGAGAATGAGCAGGGCAAAGGGAAACCCGAAATGCACAGCTAGAGGACTGACAGAGCAGGAGGAGATTCCATGTTAGGGCTGAAGCCGATGGAGTCAAAGTTGCATGATGGCAGTGGTTCAGGCGAGGTCCTTCCCAGCTAACCCTGCAATTTGTGGAAGGTTTTTATTCCTCCTAAAAAGCAGCTACCAAGGGAAACTTAGGCAAATATAATTCAGGGAAGGGCCGAGTTCCATCCCAAGTGAGCACACAGACCTGGCAGCATGGGGCCACATGCTTCCGGCATTAGAGTCCTGAAGGGTACAGGAGTGAAGGATCATGGGATCTTCCTCGGCCTGTGATTAAGGAAACTCAGGGGAGTCCCCTGCGTGGAGGCCCTGAGAGGTAGGCCTCTGGGCGAAGCTGTACAGTGAAGCCTGGATGGTGTTGGAGACACCAGAACCATGGGGGGTCTGCAGAGACCTGCATACAGGGAGTGGGACCAGACTAACAGAAGTGTGTTGTAGTCAGCAAAGCTGCGCATGTTAAGCCATCGAAGCCACTTGACTTCAGTGTAGGAGTCTAGAGTTTGCCTGATAAGTTCTGGTCTTGCTTGGGTCAAATATTCCCTCAGTATGCCTCCATTCCTCTCTTTTGGAATGCTAATATATATTCTGTGCTATTATATATGACAAGTATGTAAGCTGGTTGTATTCACTGTTAACATGGCCATGAGTCTTGAAAGACCCTACAGACCCCCTCCTCAAAACCCACAGCTAGCATGCTCCCGGGAGAATGTCCTGTTTGCTTGAAAGAGTCTCAGGATCAGCAGCTAGCCTGCTCTCATGAGAACATCCCATTTGCTTAGGAAAGCAGGATGTCTACGAGATAGGATGCCTGCAAAACAGGATATCTATAAAGATAGGACATCTACAAAGCAGAATGGCTGCAAAACAGGATACCTATAAGATAAGAACCGGATATCTATTGCCAGACATCCATGCTGGGAGAGGAAAAACCATTCATGCCCCCCCCCCATTCCAACCAACCGATAACCACACTTCTGCATCTGTAAACTTGCTTTTGCTGCCCTCTTTCCTATAAAAAGACCTCCTCCCAGTTGGCAGGCGCACAAGTCCTCCGAAAGACTTTGCCGCCCGCCTGCAGGTACCTGTGTTTACCCAATAAACCTCTTGCTATTTGCATCCGTGTTGTCTCGGCCTGTTCCTTGGCTTCGGGGAGGTCTCCTCCCGAGGGAAGGTCCTCTTCGAGGGTCTTTCAGTCTAAGAAGAGACTCTGGACTTTGACCTTTTAAACAGTGTTGAGATTGTGACAGATTATAAGGACTTTTTAAAGTTGGACTAAATGAATTTTGCGCTATGATATGACCACAAGTCTTTGGGAGTCGGGGAGTAGAATGTAGTAATTTGAATGAGAATAGCCCCCATAGGTTCATATGTTGGTCCCTTTTGGTGGAACTGTTCGGAAAAGATTAAGAGGTGTGGCCTTGGAGAAGGTGTGTCACTGAAGGTGGACTTTGAGTTAGCTCTCTCTGCCTCCTGCTTATGAAATAAGAAGTAATATCTCAGTTCCTGCTCCAGCATGATGCCTGTCTGCCTGCTCCCATGATACCTGCCATGGCGGTCCTTGCCCCCTAAAATTATAAACCCTAAATAAATGCTTTCTTTTATAAGTTACCGTGGTCATGGTATTTTATCACAGCAATGGAAAAGTAACTAGGAAATTTTCTTATTTATGGTGTGCCATGAAATGTTTCTATAAAATGTATACATTGTATAATACACAAATCATGGTTTGTCTCTATATTAGTTACTTGTCTCCTTGTTGGCATAAAATACCTGACAAAAGCTACGTGGGGAAGAAAGGGTGGGATTTGGCTCACAGTTCAAAGGGACTGTTCATGCTATCAGGGAGGTCAGGACAAGAAGTGCTCATAACCCCGAATCTTGAGTCAGCCAGCAGAGAGGGCTGGAAGCTGCTGCTTGCTCACTTCCTTCTCTTACAAGACCTCAGCCAAGGAAGGTGCTGCCTATCGGGAGAGGGAGGAGTTGCAGGATCTGCCCTTTTCTGATTGACCAACTCTAGCCTGCCCAGTCCTTGCAGGCTGGAGGGCTCAGGAGCTGGCCAGGATGAAGGCAGCAGTCCAGCCTCATTAGGAAACAGGCAAATGGTAAACCAGAAGTGCAGAGCTAGGGGGAGGGGGGATTGGCTGTGACAAGGCCAGTGGAGGTAAGTGGGAGCAGCCCTGCAGGTCGGGGGGGGGGGGGCCAGCTCCAAGCCCACACTCTCCTAGGGTATCCTGCCTCACCAAGGCTTGGTTGGTGCTGTTTGCACCTCTGCCTGGTGCCTTCTCACTGCCCACATTAAGTGATTCTTCACACCTCAGTTAACCTAATCTAGACGTTTTCGCTCAGAGGTACCCTGAGGTTAGTCTCCTTGGTGATTCCTTTGCTGTCAGAGCTGACCATCACCGTATCCTCATACATCCCTTCTCAGGGCAAAAACTCTCAGAGTCCTTAATATTCTGAAGTGCTTAATAAATATCTGCCTACCCCACCACGTAATAGGAAAGCAGGATGGCTTTCTGCTTAGGACGTTGTTAGAATTGTTGAATTAGGAGCGGCAGGGCTGCGTCCCCGGCACCCGGCCGCCCACATGGCTAGCTTATGCCCGAAATAATTACACAGAAACTGTATTCTTTTAAACACTGCCTGGCCCGTTATCTGTAGCCTCTTATTGGCTAGCTCTTACATATTAATCTAACCCATTTCTAATATTCTGTGTAGCCCAAGAGGTGGCTTACCAAGGAGGATCTTATCCTTCATCTGTCTGGAGTGGGAGAACCATGGCGACTGCCTGACTCAGCTTCTTTCTCCCAGCATTCTCTCTGTTTACTCCACCCACCTATGTTCTAACCAATAAAATGGGCCAAGGCAGTTTCTTTATTATAATTCCATCCATCATAGAATGTTGATCCCGCAGTGTGTGTTTCTCCACTTATGCCATGCCACACTCCCCTCAGCCTGTGAGAGCCACAAGTCTAGACCCAGCTTCCAGATCTACTTTTTCAAGAAGTGAGACCATGCCCTACTTGTCTTCTGTGCCTGGCTGATTTCACTTAACACAGTGCCAAGTTCCAGCTGTGTTAGCACACATGGCAGAATGTCATTTTTCTGCGGCTGATCACTCCTCCAGTGTATGTATAGCACATTTTCTCTATGCTCTCTGGTGGATGAATGCTTTAGATTGTTTTAGGGGGGTTATATTGTTTTTTGATTGTTTTGCTTTTGCTTTTTGTTTGCATGTTTTTCAAGATAGGGTTTCCCTGGATAGCCCTGGCTGTCCTGGAACTCTCTGTAGAACAGGCTGGCCTCAAACATAGAGACCTACCTACCTACCTCTTGCCTTCCAAGTCCTGGAATTAAAGGCATGCACCACTGTGCCTGGCAGTCTGGTGAATTTTTTGAGAGTCTGTTTAATTTCTTCTTTTAAAAGTTCTGTGTGTATGTGGCAGGGGAGGAGAAAGAGGGGACGCTTGCATGCTCACATGCCGTGGTGCGTGTTGAGGTCAGAGGACCACTTTCTAGAATCCGTTCTCTTCTTCCGTCATGTAGGTTCTGGAGAATGAACTTAGGTCTTCAAGTTTGGGTGGCAAGTGCTTTTATCTACTGAGCCACCTCACCTTCCCCAAACTGTTCCTTGGTTGACCTGATTTGCCCCCACCTTAAGGACACCCTGATTTACTCTGCGTCTTTCCAGTTGTTGCCTGTCTGTTGGCTCTTTCTCACTGCAGTTACTGTGAATAATACTGCCTTTCTTTTAGCACCTCTTTCTCATAGGAAGCTAGAAATGTTAAAATTAAAAATTAGGCATATAAAGAATATGAGAATTTTCAGACTTTTTATAATTTCCTAGTAAGGTTAAAATAAATAGTTGAGGGTGTATGGGTAAACCAGCATTCCTACCAGCAACTGGAGTAGCATAGGCATTCTTAGCAGAGAAAGCAATGGAAAAGAAAATTACTAGGAATATGAAATACTTTAACTAATGTCTTACTTAGGGTTGTTATTGCTGTGCTAAATCACCATGACTAAAGCAGCTTGGGGAGGAAAGGGTTATTTGACTTACACTTCCACATCAAGTTCATCACTGGAGGAAGTCAGGACAGGAACTCACGCAGGGCAGGGACCTGGAGGCAGGCGCTGACACAGAAGCCATGGAGGGGTGCTGCTTAAAGGCTTGCTCCCCATGACTTTCTCAGGGCTATGTGCCAGGGCTGGCACCACCCACAAGGGGCTTGCCCCCACCCATCAATCACTAATTTAAAAAATGCCTTACAGCTGGATCTTATGGAAGCAGTTTCTCAATTGAGGCTCCCTCCTTTCAGATAACACCAGTTTATGTCAAATTGACATAAGACCAGCCAGCACAACTAAATATCTTTCTGTAAGAAAAATTACTAGTCTATGCAGTCTGTCATAACCTTAGCACAAATGAATATTCAATTATTGTCCATGGTTTTTAAAGCTGTGATATTTAACTTTTTAACTGAGATGTGTTGTGATACAGTTATCTAAACACTTAAGGAAATCTTAACACTGTTTCCCTGTTTCTTTCCAGCATTTGTAGAGCCAGTTTCTAAGGCGGCGTGAATGTTTTCTGAACTGCTCATGTTCTTATACCCTCAGTAACCGTGTGGAAGCGTGGACAAGGGACGTTGCATTCTTGCTCAGACAAGAAGGCAGGCCTGTGGTTAATCTTATCCCAGACAAGAACAGAAGGAGAGTGAAGGCAGGGGACTGGCAGAATACAGACAGAGCCGTCGACTGGCTGAGGCAGGAAGCCATTAACTCCACCAAGCCATTTGTGCTTTACCTGGGACTGAATCTGCCCCACCCTTACCCTTCACCTTCTTCAGGGGAAAACTTCGGCTCTTCTACTTTTCAAACGTCTCTGTATTGGCTTGAAAAGGTAAGTATCCTGTGTGTGTCAAAAGTAGACATTCGTGTCACACGCAGAGCCCCTGATGCCAGCTTAGGTTTACTTTTATTATTTTTATGGAAAAATTGGAAACTTACACTTTTTCCTTTTTTGTTTGTTTTTTGTTTGTTTGTTTTGAAACAGGGTTTTGCTGTGTAATAGCTCTGGCTGCCCTGGAACTAGCTCTGTAGAACAGACTGGCCTTGAATTTACAGAGATCCCCCTGCCTGCCTCTACCTCCCGAGTGCTGGGGTTAAAGGTCTGTGCCACCACTGCCCGGTGGGAATTTATACTTTTAAACTAAAACAGTAATGAGTTTGTTTAAAAGATAGTATTTTGAAAATAAAATATTAGTGCTTGTTACCTGTATAGAGTTGCATATGGTATGTTTATAAGAAGGAAATGGAAGACATTATCTCTGCAGTGTGGGCAGGCCTTATATCCCTAGTTCAGAATGCTAAAAATAATCACCCAAAAGGAGACTGAAAAAACATCTTAATTGTCAAAGGAAGAGTTTATCATTTTTTCTAAAAATTTTAAAAACATCTGTCAAAATATTTAAAATTTTGCCGTGAGTTGTCACTAGAGAGAGAAAATGTATTATTTAGTACATTGTGCTGAATACACAGAGATGTCTGGTATCAATGTTGTAAAGAGCATACTAGGTACATTGTGAGCCTTGCCCGCCTCCCCTGTGCAGCTCCTGACCTGCAGTGTGGGCCACCGCCTCCCCTGTGCAGCTCCTGACCTGCAGTGTGGGCCACCACCTCCTCTGTGCAGCTCCTGACCTGCAGTGTGGGCCACCACCTCCTCTGTGCAGCTCTCTATAACAAGCATATTCCCTTGGCTTTGCAAATTGTCATATTTCTTTCTCTATTTAGGTCAACTTCCTAACTTTTACTTTTTGGCTTCCAATATAGAGTTCCTTTGGTGTGAACTATATTTTTACCAGTTTCTCAATGTAAATCTCAATCCTTTTCTTCAGACTGGTCATCCTGATTGTGAATCTGAATCCTTTGAGATGGCGCACATTAGCATTCCAAGAGCATCCCTTTCTTCTGTTATCTCATATATGTGTGGTTTGGATCCACTTCAGCACTGGCACGCTTTGTTTCTTTACTGAACGCTCATCTTCCTGAGTTTCCTTTCATTTTCCCCTTTTGTGAAGTGTCTCATGGATTTATCACTGGAAGACAAATTCACTCTATGACTTTTCAAAGAAAGCTCATCAAATCTGAAACACTCCTGCTCCTGATCATGGAAATAGGTTTGTTTACTCAGCCCATTCCTACTTGGAGAATTGAGTGCTTCATTTCCATTCTCTTCCATCCTTCTGTGTATGAAACATTGTGAAGTTGGCCTGTGGGAAGAAACAGTATTATACCTTTGCTGGTGTAAAGAATTTTCTTCTCCTTTTCAGGTAGCTTATGATGCCATCAAAATCCCAAAGTGGTCAGCTTTGTCGGAAATGCACCCTGTGGACTATTACTCTTCCTATACCAAAAACTGCACGGGGAAGTTTACCAGGAAGGAAATTAAGAACATTAGAGCGTTTTATTACGCTATGTGTGCGGAGACAGACGCCATGCTAGGTGGGTGGCGTAATTAGTAAGCAACATTGTGACTGTCGGTTGGGGCTTGCAGGAGCATCCTCAGAGATCTCTTAAAGCGGTTGTTTAAATCCCTCAGACGTAGAACCTTGGAGATACTGACTCATAAAAATACACTAACAATAGAGGAAAAGAGCCCTTTCTGTTTTAATTATTCATAAGTTCTCAGATTTGTTCATACATAAAAAAGTCATAGAAAGCTGTTTTCTGCTTAAAACAAAACACTGTTGGTCTTGGCTGTACTTGGCTGAACGTGACAGGTGTGTGAGAGACAGCTTAGCTTCCAGGAGATAAAAAGTTCCGCTTTCCAAACACTGATGTAGAAGAATCAGTTTGGTTTTTGCAAACACCTTTGGACTCTCAGGAGAGTGGACATCGGGAGTTAAATCGACAGAGACACAAAGGAGTTAAGAGTAGAAAAATCTCTTTAACTTTTCTCCCAACAGATGTAATTTGTCACGTATGCTCATGACGTACATGACATAGCACTAGTTATCAAGCAACATTTTTATGTAAAGATAGAAAAAGACACTTTCTGATAAAAATAATTGTAGGTGAAATTATTTCTATGCAATCACTCATATCTAAATTAAAATGAGAAAAGTCCAATATGAATCTTGTGAATACTGGGAATGTCAGTCTTAGGGGAGGGGCAGATGGTAGGTTAAGGTATTGTGAAGACAACTTAGCACTCATGTTTGCTTTACAGTATCATTTTAGATATCTTCAAATGTGTTCTGGGGGAGAAACGGGAGTGGGGGAACTGCGGCCAGGATCTACTATATGAGAGAAGAATAAAATAAAATAAAATAAAATAAAATAAAAATGTCTTCCAGAGTGCTTCAGAGTACTTGCTGCTCTTTCAGAGGGCATGGGTCAATCTATTGTCCAAAAATGTTCTGCTTCTTAGCATCAAGTCATGGTAAACAGAGGTCCATGTGCCTTCCCTGTACTCTGACTGGACCTTCAAATGCACGCATTTAATATAGACCTTCGCTCCCCAAATTCAAGACCTAGGAAAATAAAGATATTTTCTCCTTTCTCTGCACTATGCTTTATTGTGATTCCCATAATTCTAGTGAGGAGCAACTTTCGAGTCAGAGACAAGGTCTCTCGGAACATCTCTGCTCAGTTTTTCCCAAGTCCCACTATATGCCCATGGCTCCTCCTCCTTTAAGGTGGGATATCCACAACTAAGCCAGCTTTAAGAGCATACCATGGCAGTTGTGCAAGGGGCTAGGAGAAGGGATACCTGGGAATTTAGGGTTGCCCCTCACCCCTCTTCTTGTGCGGAGTCATGTCCAGAGTGACATCCGGACTTGTCTGTCTGTCCCCATTTGAGGCACTGAGAGGAAGAAGCCGCTCTGGTCTCAGTGTTCCCTGACAGAAGCTAAAGAGGTGGTCTGGCAGATACTGAGTGTCAGCTGAGGAGAAAGCATGTGAGGCCATGAGGTTCTACCTAGGTGGTAAGAAGTATTGCAACAAGCTCTGAGTACGCTCGTTTGAACTTAGTGTGGCAAACTACAGCGCGAACTAAAGCTAATCCAAAGAACTTTCTTGATTTCTATGGTAGGTGAAATTATTTTGGCTCTCCGCAAGTTAGATCTTCTTCAGAATACCATTGTTATATACACTTCAGACCATGGCGAGATGGCCATGGAACACCGCCAGTTCTATAAAATGAGTATGTATGAAGCGAGCACCCATGTTCCTCTTCTGATCATGGGACCAGGAATTACGACCAACCTACAAGTACCAAATGTGGTTTCTCTTGTGGATATTTACCCTACCATGCTTGGTAAGTACTGTGTTTATGGAAATACGTGTTTGTGAAGCTGGAGAGAAACAAGTGAAGTACTCAGAATCCCACTAACTTGAGCAACTCTCTCGTTCTGAGTCAGATTCATACTCTGAGAAACAAGGACAATGTTCCCAGTTCTAATGGCCCTCACTCTCTTTAGTCATTTTCTCTTCAAAAGATTCACAGTCTGGATATGACTATAAAATAAGACACATCAGATTTTGGGATGTATACCTTTATCTTTTTACTTATATACAACTTTCTTCCACCACCTCCCTAGGATATAAGTATTTCTACTACTGAATCTTCTCTCCACTTTTTACAGGGCCCATCAGTCACTTTTCTATCACTGAGACAAAGCACCATGGCAAAGGCTACTATTAAAAGAATTTAATTGACTTATGTTTTCAGAGATTAAGAGTCTATGATGGGGAACGAAAGCATAGCATGGTGGCAGGAACAGCTCACACCTTGCATCATGATCCGTACGTTGAGGCAGAGAAAGAGCACCAGGAATCACATGAGTCTTTTGAAACCTCAAAGCCTGCCTCAAGTGACACACCTCCGCCAACAAAGCCACACTTCCTAATCCTTCCCAAACAGTCCCACCAACTGGGAAGGCTCCACCATGTATTCAAATATGTGAGCCCATACAGGACGTTCTTTCTCTGTCTAATAGTGTGAACATATGTCCCCTCAAACACATTTCCTAGCTGTACACTGTTTACTTTATGTCCTGCTTCTTACTGTCTGTAGAGATACCCAAAGGTCCGGCCAGAGTAGTAACATTTGGACTGCTGTTTCTATTGAAGGTCATAGACTAAGGAAAATTGTCTAAAACTATTGTGTTTTAATTTAGCAGAGTAAATTTGTTTCATCTTGCAACTTGTACATCCAGTGAAGTCAGGGCAGGAACTCATGATGGGAACCTGTAAACAAGAAGTTTACTGGAAGGCACCTCATGTTTTATTCCATTTGCCTTTTGATTTTATTTATTTATTTATATTTTATGTGTGAGTGCTCTGCATGTAGACCTTCATGCCAGTAGAGGGAATCAGATCCTATTACAGATGGTTGTGAGCCACCATGTGGTTGCTAGGAACTGAACTCAAACCCTCTGGAAGAGCAGTCAGCGCTGTTAACTGCTGAGCCATCTCTCCAGTCCCCAGAAGTGTCATTTAAGTTCATCACTGTTTAAATACTACAGTTCTGTTCCGTGGCATTATGTTTTACAAAAATCACCATGTTGTTGATTGTACATGTTGGTGAAAGATAACTTATTTCTCTACTTTGGAGATGGTAAAATGTGAAATACCTACCTTAAAAAAATCAAAGCAGTACAGGTTCTTATTTTCTTCCTTTATTTGCCTGGATGTTAATTTAAATCAGAGCTGTCTCCTTTGTCATTGTGTGCTTGAACATCTTTCTAGCTTTGGAATTTCGGTCTCTGGTTGCTCATTCGTTACTTGGTTTCCCTTTGTTGCAGAGCAATGACCACGTGTAGCTAGGCCTTGGCCTCTTTCCCACTCGATGCCTTTGTCTTAAAGTAGAATAAGGTAGAAAAGAGTAGTTATTAGATACTGACTTATTGTTTCTTTAGTGGTTCACTTAAAACACTGCTAGTACAGCCTCTTTACCCAGCATGACTCCGCTCACTACCAGGAAGAGAACGACCTGGAGAAGGAGCTGCTACATGGAGATAACATGGGGTACATGCCAGTTCACAGCCGGTCGTTTCTGTAAAATCTCGGTTGCTTGTCTGCCCCACCTTGTGGTTTTACAGTATAAAATGAGAATACAAGCTAGGTTGGACACGGGATTGAGGCCTTTCAGGAGCTGTCCTGGCTCTGGTCCACCGGTGGCCCCTCCTTTCTTGCAGCGTATAGGTGTTAGAGTGCTTAGTCCAGAGCACTCTCCTTCAGGTCAGCTTGAAATGCTCCCTCTTTGTGCCTCCTTCTCTCATGTGTTAGTCCCAGCTATAGTCTCCCCCTCTCCTTTCCCCAGATCCTTTCCTCCTCCTCCTTTCTCTTTATAGAAGGATAGGCCTCCCAGCTATATCCAAACATAGCATATAAAGTTACCACAAAACTAGGCCTATCCCATCATATTAAGGCTGGATGGGGCAACCCCGTAGGAAGAAGAGTCCCAAAAGTAGACAAAAGAGTCAGAGAAAGCTCCCATTCACACTGTTAGTAGTACCACAGGAACCCCAAGCATCACAACCATAACATATAGCAGAGGACCTAGGTCAAACCCATACAGGCTCCTTGATTGTAAGTTCAGTGTTTGTGAGCCCCTATGAACCCTGATTAGCTGATTCTTTAAGCCATTTTCTCATGGTATTTTGATCCTTCTGCATCCTACAATCCTTTCTGGCCCTGCTCTGCAAGATTCCCAGAGCTCTGCCCGGGTCTGTTGTGGGTCTCTGCATCTGCTCCCGTCAGCTGCTGAAAGAATCCTCTCTGAAGACGATTGTGCTAGACACCCGGCTGGCTACATAAGACAACTAGTTCAGGTTCGGTATCCTCCATTCCTTGGAGCCTTTGTCAGGCTCACCCTTGAAGCATCATTCATAAAAACTCAGAGAGAGTTATTGGGGTTCAACCTGAAGGTTGAAAAGCAAAACAGCCAACCACTGGCTCTTACCTCTACCTCAGTCTGAAATGGTGATCCTGCCTCCAGGAATCGCAGAATGAGACTGTGAGCTGTCTCCTCCTGTTTTATAATCCTCTCTCATTCTGTAATTAAAGATGTGCACCATCACCCGGTTTCTATCGCAAACTAGTATAGCTACTGGGATTAAAGGTGTGTGTTAACATTACCTGGTCTGTAAGACTGACTAGTGGGGCTGTTTTAATCTCTGATGTTCAGGCAAGCATTATTTATTAAAATACAAATGAAATGCCACTACACACCCCCGTGGATTCCTAGGAGTTTTCATTGCTTTAGGTTTCTACCTCACCCCAGAAATGCCCCCCAATTCCACTTGTCTCTCCCAGTACTTTCCCCCTCCTCTACCCCTCACTTCTAATCCTTCTTGTTCCCATTCATACTTATCCCCAGTACACCTAAGAAATTTATTCTCTTTCCCCGTCCCAGGGGTCTATGGATTGTAACATGGTTATCCTGTACTTCATAGCTAATATCCATTTATTATTGAGTACATATCATGTTTGTCTTCCTAGGTCTGATGATTTTTTATAGTCCCATCCATTTGCCTTCAAATTTATGAAGTCATTGTTTTTAAAAGCTGAGCAGTACTCCATTGTATAACTGTACCAAATTTTCTTTAAGTATTCTTCAGTTAAGGGACATCTCAGATGTTTACAGTTTCTGGCTATTAAGAATAAAGTTGCTATGAACATAACTGAGCAACTCTCCATGTGGTATGGTGACTCGTCCTTTGGTTGTATGCCCAGTACTGGTATAGCTGGGTCTTGAGGGGATCAATTCCTAATTTTCTGAGAAACTGCCATATTGATTTCCAAAGTGACTGAACAAGTTTGCAGTCCCACCAGGAATGGCAGAGTGTTCCCCTTGCTCCACATCATTGAGCAGATTGAGCTGTTGCTTGTGTTTTTGATCCTAGCCATTCTCATGGATGGAATCTCAGAGTCATTTTGATTTGTATTTCCCTGATGAGTAAGGATGGTGTATATTTCTTTAATAACATTCTTTGGCCATTTGAGATTCTTCTGTTGAGAATTCTCTGTTTAGATCTGCACCCCATTTTTAATTGAATTACCTGGTTTTTTGATGTCTAGTTTCTTGAGTTCATTATGTATTTTGGAGACCAGTCATTTGTTAGATGTGGGGTTGGTGAAGATCTTTTCCCATTATGTAGGCTGCTGTTTTGTCTTATTTACACTGTCCTTTGCCTTACAGAAGTTTCTCAGTTTCAAGAGGTCCTATTTGTTAATTGTCAATCTTAGTGCCTATGCTACTAGAATTCTGTTCAGAAAGTTGTCTCCTATGCCAATGCATTCAAGGCTAGTCCCAACTTTTTCTTCTGTCAGATTCAGTTTATCTGGCTTTATGTTGAGGTCTTTGATCCACCTGGACTTGAGTTTTGTGCAGGGAGACAGCTATGGATCTATTTGCATTCTTCTACATATCAACATCCAGTACCAGCTACCATTTGCTGAAGACGCTTTCTTTCTTTTTTCTCTATTGTGTATTTCCAGCTTCCTTATTAAAAATCAGTTGCCCACAGGTATGTGGATTTATTTCTGGGCCCTCATTTCAATTCCACTGATGAATACCTCTGTTTTATGCCAATACCGCCCAGTGTTTTACCAACACTGTCCTTAAGATCAGTGTTTGGCATGCATCCCTTTTGTGAGTGACTGATTTCATGTGCTCTTATTCTGAGTATTTGACAGGTGAAACAATCATTAAGTCACTCCAGAGCACAGGATGGACCGTGCCAGAGCACAGGATGGACCGTGCACCACTTTTGAGTTCATAAGGCACAGCAACAATAAATTTACCTACAATACATTACCTGCTTTTGTTTAATTCTGTAATCATTTTTAACTACTAGCCCCTCTTTGCGTAGGCCTTATTACTGTCCCATGAGCTAAGGGTGTCAGGCACTGTTCTCAAATTTAAGTGAGTCAGCTAGTTTTCACGAAAAATGAACATTTGAGATAGAAGTACTCTTATTATACCTCTCTTAGAAATGAGGAAACAGCCGGGCAGTGGTGGCGCACGCCTTTAATCCCAGCACTTGGGAGGCAGAGGCAGGCGGATCTCTGTGAGTTCGAGACCAGCCTGGTCAACAAGAGCTAGTTCCAGGACAGGCTCCAAAACCACAGAGAAACCCTGTCTCAAAAAAAAACAAAAAAAGAAAGAAAGAAAGAAAGAAAGAAAGAAAGAAAGAAAGAAAGAAAGAAAGAAAGAAAGAAAGAAAGGAGGAAACATGGGGCTGGAGAGATGACTCAGTGGTTAAGAGCACTGGCTGCTGAGCCGGGCGGTGGTGGCGCACGCCTTTAACCCCAGCACTCGGGAGGCAGAGGCAGGCGGATCGAGGCCAGCCTGGTCTACAAAGGGAGTTCCAGGACAGGCTCCAGAGCTACAGAGAAACCCTGTCTGGAAGAAAAAAAAAAAAAAAGAGCACTGGCTGCTTTTCCAGAGGATCCAAGTTCAATTCCCAGCACCCACATGACAGCTCGCATTGCTGTCTATTACTTCAATTCCAGTGATCCAACATTCTCACAAAGAGAAATATACAGGGGAAACACCAATGCATATAGAAATAAAAATAAATAAATAAAATATTTTTAAAAGAGAGATGAGGAACAGTCAGGGAACTTACTAAATCACTCAAGGTAACATGGTCTGCACGTGAGCTCTTCAGTCTAGGCAGTTAGGTTACAAAATCTGCATATGATCTGTAGTCTGCAACCTTTAGTGATGGGACAATAGGAATGATGTTTCAAGATAATTCCAATGAATTAGTAAAAATGCATTTTACTTTTGTTCCGAAGATATTGCTGGGATTGCTGTGCCGGAGACCCTCAGTGGGTACTCTTTGTTGACACTGTCATCAGAGGCATCTGCAAATGAGCAGACATTCAAAATGCACCGTCCGCCCTGGATCCTAAGTGAATTCCATGGATGCAATGCAAATGCCTCCACCTACATGCTGCGAACCGGCCAGTGGAAGTATATAGCCTACTCTGACGGTGCCTCCGTGCAGCCGCAGCTCTTCGGTAAGCTTCTGGATCCAGTTTAAGTAGAATGAGGTGTTCTACACCACATGCTCAAGGGAATGGATAATTGTTGTTAAAACAAATGAATACCTATTGCTTGTCATACTGGGACAGGCTACAATAGGTCATCTCAGTCTCATGGTTTGGAGTGAGTGTTTAGGTCTAGTCTCTGTTATCTGTGACTGCTGATGGTGAAGACCATTTGTGATATGAGTTACCAGTGTTCACTAATGGAGCTCTTAAACTGAATTTTTTATTTAGAGTTCTTCTCCTGTTTTATCTTTATTTATTATTATTTTTATTATCATTCTCATTATTATTTGTTTTTTGATACAGGGTTTCTCTGTAACAGCCCAGGCTGGCCTCGCACTTAAAAATCCACCTGCCTCTGCCTCTTAAATGCTGAGATTAAAGGCATGCGCCACCACCGCCCGGCTAGAGTTTTTCTTATCTTTTATCCCCACGTTGTACATAGAATAGGTATGAAGGCCACTATTAATACTTATTACTTCCAAAATTTCCCTCCTAATTACAAATATTAGAATTATTGACAGAAATCATTCTTTTGGGGCCAGAGGACTAACTTCCTTAAGTTTATGAACATGTATTCATGGATTCCAACAGAGAAACTGAGGTACCTTCATAGACACTGTGAAATGAAATCTGCAGAATTCCTACATCAGGCCCAGCAAACCTAACCAAGTCAGAGCAGAGTTCCTCAAGCCCAGTGCCATGCAGTCCAGCAGTCCTTCACAGCAGCTAATCAGAAGGGCACACTTAGCAGCTCCCTATGATGAAGCACCCCTGCTCAGCTGTGGGACAATGGTCTGAACCCCACCAGTTGTATTTTAAATAAACACTGATTGGCCAGTAGCCAGGCAGGAAGTAGAGGCAGGGCAACGAGAATTCTGGGAAGAGGAAAAATTCAGCCTGCAGTAGTGTCCCAGACACAGAACAAGCAAAATGTGACTGCCACACTGAAAAAGGTACCAAGCCAAGTGGCTAACACAGACAAGAATTATGGGTTAATATAAGTTATAAGAGTTGATAAGAAGCCTGAGATACTAGACCAATGAGTGTATAATTAATGTAGATTTCTGTGTGCTTATTTGGGACTAAACGGCTGTGGGACTGGGTGGGACAGAAACATCAGCCAACAGCGCTCTGACCATGATGGAAAGTGACGACAATCTGCTGTCTGTTCCTGGTTTCCATTCTATTGTCCTTTCTCAGCTCACAAAACCCTCCTTCCTCTCCTCTCCCTCCTCCCCCTCAGTTCATCAGAGCACTTTGTCTATTTAAGTAAATAAGTCCACTTAATGAATTACTAAAGAAAATTCATTTACATCTTTACAGTTGTTGAAATTTTTGGCTTTCAACATATTCTGCAAAAGGTGAATGTGCCTGAAGGATCAGTAGGTACACTGACCATGACAGAACTCTCTAGCGTTTATTCATGGACTGTTCTTTCCTCTAGAGATGCCATCTTTAGTCAGCTGGCAGACTTACGTGTGCCTTTTGACATCTCCTGGCTAGTGTACCCAAACGGGCCCACAGAAACATTCCCTGCACACAGTTTTCCTTACTCTCTGAAGTCCATGCCCATAAGTCATTGCCTTGTTTGTTTTCCGGTAGAATTGGTATCCTGAGTCGTCACATCCTCTGTCTTCCCATCCCCTGTAAAAAGAATGCATGTGGGTCTGAAGCCCTTGTCAGTATTCCTCACTGGTCCTTACTGAGAAGAGTTCTTATTTTCATGGCTGCTTGCTCAATTGAACTGGTTAGTGAAATTTTCAGAAACCCTAGTAATAAGATGCTTGAAAAAGGATGTAGTGAGAAGTGAATGTGGTTATTTGTACGAGAGATTGTTCTGGCTGGGAAGTGTGAGATGGCTGTAAGTGGGCTCTTGTGAACCGCCTATGTGTCAAGTCAAGGAAAGGAAAAGTTCATTCTAAGCCAGCTTGCTAATTATGAGGATGTGGCTGTTTCTGACATCAAAGAACACATAAGAAAAAATGGGATGGTAGATGGTGACAGGAAGATATTGGTTCACTCATTACACAAGGGCTTCGCTGTGAGTGTATATCTGTAGCCATTCCTTGCTTCGTGGTCATGGGTCTGAATGACTGAGTCATTATGGGTTGTGGTGTCAGGAGAGCGTGGTTGAGTATGAGGTCACTGTGTGACCAGTGAACGCGCACTGCCCATCTTCCACGGAGAACGGAAAATGGATGAATCCTAATGCCATATCTGTCACAGTGATAGTCTCCAAAACAGTTCAGCACATAACTTTCACTTCTTGTCTTTCAGATCTTTCCTCAGACCCAGATGAACTAACGAATATCGCTACAGAATTTTCAGAAATTACTTATTCTTTGGACCAGAAGCTTCGTTCTATTATAAACTACCCTAAAGTGTCTGCTTCTGTCCATCAGTACAATAAGGAGCAGTTTCTCATGTGGAAACAAAGCACAGGACAGAATTACTCAGCTGTCATAGCCCACCTTAGGTGGCATCAGGATTGGCAGAAAGAACCAGGGAAGTATGAAGACGCAATCAACCAGTGGCTCACAGCCCACTCCTCTCCAGGAACTGCAGGCTATAAGAAAACTTTCCCAGGATACATATGAACTGAAACAGACTAGTAATTGCTAACTTTGCTTTCTGTTAAAATGTGTACTATATCTTAAGTGCCAGTGGTTACAGAACTACGTATTTTCAGAACTGCCTACTGCTAAGAACTCATTGTTGCAGGCCTATGATGGTCCAACAGCAGAAGAATTTAAAGGAGAGGAGCACGCATTCTTGTGTGGATAATATAGAATATGAAATATTAACAACTGTTGGTTATTACTTATGAATCATGATGTTTCATGACTTGCTTGTTTTTGATGCAACTCTTTGAATGTATTTGATGTGTTAGAACTATTAAATGGACTAGTCTCCTTTTGCCCCAGGTACCCTTGCTTAATTTTTTCCATGCAAATTTGCGCTATTTGCTAGTTATCAAAATGGAAAACCCCCTTTTTTTTTCTTTTATTGGGAGGGGTACAGTTTCTCAGTGTAGCCCTGGCTGTCCTGGAACTCACTCTGTAGATCTGCCTGCTGTTAAGTATTTTTCCTTAAACGACCAACTTCTCCCCAGACACAAATAATCTCGATCAGACCAGATTAAAAGGTGCTCATGTTTAATGGCTGCCAGCACTCCNGGGGGGGGGGGGGGGGGCGGTGGTGCCGTGGGGGGGGGGGGGGGGGGGCAAGGGCAGTTTAAATAGCCTATGGGAGTGACCTTGATCCTCCTGTTTGGCAGTCTTTCTTGATCTTCCCAGGGGAGAAAGCTTTGAAATGGAATTTTCCACCCCACATTCCAAAAATAGATGCCAGGGGGGAGGGGTGAAGCCCCCTAACTAAACAATCCAGACTCTGTATAAAGGGGGCCAGGAGCTAAGGTGATACTTTTAACACACCTGCCTCTGCATCCCAGGCGCAAGGATCAAAGGCTTGTGCCACCACTGCCCAGCTGCTTAGTAAATTCCTCATGCTGGCTTTGTTCGGGAGGGTCTGAGATCCTTTTAAAAGAAGACATTAAATCTGTAGCCTAATTTAGAGAGAATTAAGTCTTGGTGACAGTCATTCTGAAGAGCATAGTCTACTTACTTTTTCTCTTTTTTTACATGTTGGCATAGAGGCCAGCCTGGGCTACGTGAGACATTCTCTAAGAAAGAAAACTGCCGCCCATTCACAGGGACCCCTGAGTGCTTCCTCGTGTTGTGTTGTAAAGCTCTCTGCTCCGTGACCCCAATGTGACGCTGACATGAACTCATTCCTAGTTGGTACGTTAGTTATTCTGTTTCGTTGTGGCGTATTCACCAGAGAAGACTGCTCAGACATGGATTTCAGCCATTAAAAGCAGGCCAGTGACTACACTGGGCTCTCCAAGTCTTTCACAGGGGGAGGTTTTAAACACAAAGCCATGGCCTGGCTGACAACTACAGTTAGTGGAAGAGTTAGCCAGAAGCAGAACTGCAGAAGCCCAAAAAGCAAGGTGTGGACATTTAGAGACTTTCCCAGAACGATGGGCTTTGGTGGAATAGGTCTTTGTCTTCATCTTGGTGGGCGTTTTTCCCCCTGCGATGCGGTGCAGCCTGAAGGGCGCTTCCAGCATGGAGCCTGCTGCAGTTTCTGTATCAGTGGACCTTCCTTCCCATCATTCCTTTTGTCTGTGCACACTGTGTTTGTTGTGTATCGAACACCTGTGCAATAGCTTTTCCTTTTTTAATTAAGATTTTATTGTTATTTACTATTATTTTTGCTTGTGTGTATAAGATGTGTGAACAAGTGTGGAGGCCATAGAACAACACTGTATGGTAGACTCTGTCCCCCACTTTCACATGGGATCTAGGCATGAACTCCATTTTAAGACTTTCACAGAAAACACTGCTCGATCCCCTGAGCACTCTCTGCAACCTTACAGATCTTTTTCAGTTGGTACCTTATGTTTTCCAAGTAAAGGCCTTATCTGCAAACATTATTTTACATAGCAAATCTATTTGCAAACTGTATATGAAAGCTTTCTTCAGAGCCTTCCCCTTTATTTTACTTATTCACTGGATTCGGATTAGCTTATATTTGTAGTCATTTATAAATTTCTGAGATTTCCATTTAATACATGACTATCTTATAGTCACAAACTCACATGAAGATATACCTTAATATGATCTCAAAGTATCTTAATATGAGATTAAGGTTCAGTACAAATACAGAATCTACCTCCCAGTGTCTCCTGGCTGAGACTAATGATCATCAACTCGCTCACGTGTAAGTGTGCATGCTAATAGCACGAGCAAAGCCGATAGAACAGCGGCTTAGAGAGAGGTCCTGTACAAAGTGCTTCACCTCATTCTCCTCAGACCTTCCAAGACAAGGCATTAAAAACTTACCAAGAAGCCATGTGTGGTGGCACACACCTTTGGTCCCAGCATTTGGTAGGCTTAGCTCAGGTAGATCTCCAACTTCAAGGCCATCCTGGTCTACAGAGCTAGTTCCAGGACAGTCAGCACTCCACAGGGAAATCCTATCTCAAAAAAGAAAAAAAAAAGAAAAGAAAGAAAAAGAAAGGCATAATTGTATGTGTGTGTGTTACCTGCTTATCCCTGGTGCTCTTGGATAGAAGGCAGCTTTAGATCACCTGGAACTGGAATTACAGACAGTTGTGAGCTGCCATGTTAATGCTAGAAACTGAACTTGGGTCCTCTGGAAGAGTACATAGTTCTCTTAACAACTGCGTCATTTCTCTAGCCCCTGCCATTGAAAGGCTAATTTTAATAGTTTTATTTTTTATGAATGTGTGTGTGCATGTGCACGCATGCACATGCATAAATCTGTGGAGGTCAGAGGACAATCTGTGGAGTCAGTTCTCTGCCTTCACCACAAAGATCCCCAAAGATGAAACCTAGGTCATTGCGCTTAATAACAAACACCTTTACCCACGGAGATATCTTGCCGTTCTGGCACTGTTGGGAGCTGTTGTGGGCTGTGAACCCCTAGACCCTGAATTCCCTGCGAACAACTTGTTTTCCTCTGCTCTGAGCAGGCTGCAGCCACTCTGAGCGTGAGACCCTGATGGCAGGCTGGTGAGCCTGCAGCTGAAGACCCCGAGAGCTGGGGCGAGGCCAGAGCCCTATATAAAGCTGCCCCTGAGCACAATAAACTTGACACTCTTGTATCAAGGATGACCCGTGGCCTCGTGTCTCTGTCTGTGTGTGCGTGTGATTTTAAGTCTCCAGGCCAGTTCCTGGTTTGCGTAATTGGTCCTGTGGTGCAGGGGCTACAGGACCGTCGGTTTATACATAGCACTATTGAATTTTCAGGACAATTTAATTCAAAATGGAATCAAAGCACAAAAATAAAAAAAAAAAACC